CTGGCGTCTGGGTCGTGCAGGCAGCTGGGTGCCTCTGCTCCTGCTTGCACCTCCAGCCCCATTCAGTTTACAGGTCTAGACACAGCCTCGGGTGATGCGACCTGGTTTGGCCGGCTGGTGCCTGCCCAGTTACCTCCTGGGTTTGTCCCTTCACCCAGATGTCCCTCCCTGCACTCCCTCTCCCTACGAGGCGTGCTGTCTCCCTGCAGGGCAGCTCTCCTTGAAGGTCTCAGCACCACCGGTGGGTAATGCAGATCTGGAGTAGCGCTGGAGCTTAGGCCTGGAGGAACAGAGGCCTTATGGAGGCTCTCTTGGGATTGCAGCTAACTGTTCTGCAAAGGTCCCCAACCCCAAATTTCCCTAATTTACTTGCTGACTGTCTCAGCCTGATAATAAGAGGGTGTGTATGTTATCCCATATTTATGGCAGGTAGTATTGTCCAGGGAACATCAGAACCTCTGTGTTATACAAGTCTGTGGTCCTGTGCTTGGTTTGTTTTTCATGTTGCTGTCAAAGCTCTGTTGATGCAAACTGATCCAGTGTTAGGAATTTGGAAATCTTACGCTGGAGTAAAATGACAGGAGGCCACAAAGCCTTCGCTCCAGCATGTAGAAGTGCTCTCAGTCATGAGCAGCCTAGAGGTCAAAGTAACTTTTCTTCTTCTTGCCTATTTCTGAAGGAGATGATTTAGTCTTAAATATAAATTTTTGGCTGCTCTTTGGGCTGGTGACAGTCAATGCTGGAGCCTTTTAATGCTATCATTGACCACATAGTTGTATGACTGTAGCTCAGAATGACAGACTTACTCCTGAGTGGTTCTGTTATTTCCTGAAATTGGAAGGTGCTGGTTGCTCCTGCTTCTTGTGATTATTTCTCCTTTCTGTGCTCTTTAGGCTTCACTGCTGCAAATCCTTTTGGCCTGGGTACTGTCATAGTATCCCCAGATGGCTGTGTGATGGTATTACTATGCAACTGGTAGGCCAGTTGACATCATCCAGTGCTAATGGGACAGTCTGTCTGCCATCCCAGGGCAAGAAGGGGGACCAACAGGAATGAGATGAAGCCATTTCTCTGATGACTAGAGAGAGACCTCACTGTGTAGTGAGGATAATGACTCTTCCTGAGACTGATGGTGAGGAGTCGTTTGGCCTTTGTTAGGGGAAATTATTTTAGGTCCCGCAGGTGTTCCTCTGTGTCACATAGTAGGAATGGCAGGATTGTTTTTTGTCTTCTGGATAAAGGATCATTTCCTATGCTATGCTCCACTGCAGTGAGCCATTTGTGTTAGGGTCCTGAGCAGATGGCTTTGGGGTGTTCTCCATTGGGATCTTCTGAGGGATTGTACAGGACATTGTCGCTTTTATAGTACAATATGAAAAGGGGTATTCCCTCAATGCTCAAGTTAAATGCAAGGTGGTAGCTGTGGCAGAAAAATAGTGTATGCATTCCTCAACCATCTGATTAGTGATAGGTTGTTTGTTTCTTTGGTTTAAGAACACTTGGTAGATACATTTAGCACAGGCTGATAAACCATTAAATTCACAGGTTACCTCAACCTCCCTCACTCATTTTCTTCTTGCTACATACCTACAGAGGTGAAGCATTGACCTTGAGATAACTGGTAGACAGACCAGTGCTCCTGTAGATCAAGCTAATAGGAATGGAGCAAAAACAGTGTCTCAGATGTTATATTTAGAGAAAGATGTGGGTGCTTATTTTTGGAGGACTGGAGATAGAAAGCATGTGGCACCTATTCTCTTGCAGTCTCTGTTGGGTCCATAGCCAGTGCTGTTAGGTGAACTGATAGTTATCTAGATATTCCCCAGGGCCCTGCTAGGTGAAGCTCTGGCACAACACTTGAAATCAGGAAAGATGCTTCTGCTAAAAAGCCCAATGGCTATCCCATATGAAGTCAGCAAACTGAGGACTCTGAGGAGTATAAGGACTTGGAGCTTTTATGGTGTGGAAAGCTTGAAGGGCAAGGTGGGGACCACTCTGTGTTTATGTTGAAAGAAGTCTCTGAGGTTGACCAGCTTCAGGTTGACCAGCTTCTGTTTTCTTACAGCATCAATGAGGAATGAGATCCCCCTTCTTTAGTCTACAAGTCCTATCGTAACATTGATCCTACCTTGAGTTTACATTTCCTGTCTGCTCTGAGAAGCTAATTGGTCTACGTGACCTCCAGGGGTCCCTTCCAACCTAAATGCTTCTGTGAACTAAGAAAATGGAAGAAAAGCAAGCAGATAAAGAAGCGTTTAAGAAGTTGAACAAAACTGGCAAGTGGTTTCTTGTTGATCTTGGTTTATTGTTGAGCTTATGTTGACTTGTTTGTCTCTTCACAGCCTGCCAGCGAGGATTCTACCGTAACTCCCTGGATACTAAAAGTTGCCTGAAGTGCCCCCCCAACAGCTTATCCAATGAATCAGGGGCTACATCTTGTTCCTGCAATGCAGGCTTCTACCGAGCACCTTTGGAGGGCCAGAACGTTGCTTGCACCCGTGAGTCGCAGATAGAAAGAAAGAACAATATCTGTATAGACTGGGGGATGAACTTACTGAGACCAGACCCACAGAAAATAACTTAGGGATACTAGGGGGCAAAAAATTGGACATGAGCTGGCCATGTGCACTTGCAGCACAGAAAGACAGTTGTATCCTGGGCTGCATCAAAAGACATGTGACCAGCAGGTTGAGGGAGGTGATTCTGCCCCTCTACTCCGCTCTGGTGAGACCCCACCTGGAGTACTGCGTCCAGCTCTGGGGGCCCCAGTACAGGAGAGACATGGAGCTGTTGGAGCGAGTCCAGAGGAGGGCCATGAAGATCATCAAAGGGCTGGAGCACCTCTCCTAATGAAGAAAGGCTGAGAGAATTGGGGTTATTTAGCCTGAAGAAGAGAAAGCTTTGGGGACATCTTCTTGTGGCCTTTCAATACTTAAAGGGGGCATATAAGAAAGATGGAGAAATACTTTTTGCTAGGGCCTATAGTGACAGGACATGGGGCAATGGTTTTAAACTGAAAGAGAGTAGATTTAGATGGGACATACAGAAGAAATTTTTTACGATGACGGTGGTAAGACACTGGAGCAGGTTGCACAGAGAAGTTGTGAATGTCCTGTGTTTGGAAGTGTTCAAGGTCAGGTTGGACGGGGCCTTGGGCAACCTGGCCTAGTGAAAGATGTCCCTGCCCATGGCAGGGAGTTGGAACTAGATGATTTTTAAAGGTCCCTTCCAACCCAAACCATTCTATGATTCTGTGAACAATGAGATGGGAGGAAGCAAAACATTGGGAAATGGGGATGAGACATCAGAGAGGGGGAGACTGGGGAGACAGAAGGCTCCATTTGAAATGCATCAGCAGATGGGAAACTGACACAGTACTTTGGGTATTAACAGTTGGATCTAATACTTCCTTTCATGCTTCTTCTAGGCCCCCCCTCAGCTCCCCGCAATGTCAGCTTCTCCCTTCTTGGCACACAGCTGAGTCTGTGGTGGCAGCCACCCAGCGACCATGGTGGGCGAAAGGACCTGACCTACACAGTCTTCTGTCAGCGCTGTCATTTCCTGTCATGTGAGCCTTGTGAGGCTGGTGTGGTGTTCTCCCCCAGTGCTTCTGGTCTCACTAAACCTGCTGTGGATGTGGACGGCCTAGAAGCTTACACCAACTACACATTTGCTGTGGAAGCCCATAATGGTGTCTCAGGAATGGGACCTGCTCCACAGAGAACTGCTCCAGCTGTCTGGGTCGCAGTTGGACATGCAGGTTAGCAGAAGCAGAGAGAAGTTCTTCCTGCTCATCAGGAAAAGGAAGAGGAATCTCTGTGAATGTTTTAAGCTTTCTCCATCTTCTCCTTCTGTCTGCCACATGTGTTGGTATGGTATGATAAAGACTCTAAGGTACCTCTGCCTCTGGCATGTAAAGTCCATCAGTCATATTCTTTGCAAGTGAAAGCAGCAGTATTTATTACCCACCAAGAACTATCAATCCACCAAGGACTTAACAGAGGTGAGGAGGATAAAGGCCTCCCTGTGATACACTAGTGTAGTCCAGCCTAACTATTGTTACCTGTGTGACAGGAAGAACAGGGACTGTGGCATAAAATATTTCCCATGACTCGGATATTGCAAAAAATCTGACCAAAAGCAACAGAAACCCTGCTGGAACTGAAAAATACAAGAGAAAAAAAAAAAAAGCTTTGAAAGCATGGAGAAATGAGAATGTTAAAAAAATGCAAGTTCTTGCCACATTTCTGCAGTTTAGCTTCAAGCTGGCTAGTTTGGCTGTCCTGTGAGTACTTTCCAGAGTGCTGTGAAATGTGATTATAGAAAAGTGACATCGCAGTGCTCAACAGCCCTTGGTGCTTTCCCCAAGTTATGATTTAGTGACAAAATAAGACTTTTCTTCCTGACGCTATGCGTGGGCAGCACAACTCTGAGCTACTTTTGGCTTGCCTCATCACTTCTGGTGATGATGAAGGACAAGGAGAGAACCAGGCTTGACTCTTCAGTCCTTGCAGACTGTTGAGAATTATCTTTTTATTCATGAACAGCATGCATTTGCAGTCAGCTGAGAGGTTTTGGGCGTTGAATTTCACTGTACCCTTATGAAATGGAGCTGCATTCATAAATCACATGGGATAATTGTATTACTTCTGCTGTAAGAGCATAAAATTCTAACATTTTTATTTCATAATGAAAACTTTCAGTGCATTGCTGGATTAAATGTAATTTCTTGGAACACTGATTTTGTTTTGGAGGCCAAGCAAAGTTATGCTTCCACTGTTGGGGTAGAAGCATACTATTCATGGAAAGCAATACATTATAGCCGGAGATCTCACTTCCCTTTCTTCACAGAAGAGAAAGATGAGGGAGTGGCAGTGGCAATGAGAATCAGTTCCAGTTGCATGGTATGACCAGAGAAGGAGAGAGCTTCTGGTGAAGAGAGGGACTAGTCTGCATTATGTTTGTATTTCTTCCTGATGTTCTTTTTTTCTCTCCCCTGCAGCTCCAGTGACAGTATCCCAGTTTATCCTGACACAAAGAGATGACAGTAGTCTTTCTGTTTCTTGGCTTGCCCCACGGCAGCGTAGCCGGACCTCAGTGGAGTATGAGGTCATGTTCTTTGAGAAGGTGAGGCTGCCTTACTTGTTCTTCCCCCTTTCGCCCAAAGGGGTGGAAGCGTCCTCTTTGTTCAACGTGTATTTGTTACTTGACCCTGTTTGACATCTGCAGGGAGAGGAGGCACGGTACACAGTGAAGCACCTTCTTGAGCCAAATGTCACTCTGACGGACCTGCAGCCAGACACAGCCTACCTGCTTCGTGTGAGGTCCATAACACCCCTCGGGCCTGGGCCCTACTCCCCAGAGCAGGAATTCCGCACCCTTCCACCAGGTAAAGGACAACCACTGGTATCCCATTCAGCAGAAACTCACTTCTCCATCACATTGTATATTCATGTGGTATGTGGATCTCTTTTTGTGTTCTGCTAGCTGTAAGGCACAGACACCGCCCTCCTGAGTTCCTTGTCAACAAGGCCAAGCCTGTTGCTTTGTAAAAATGTAGAACAAGGAGACATTTATCCTGCTTCTTTGCTGTCATATAAAATTGACTTGTACTTTACCATTCAGAACTGATCAGTCTCAGGTTTGTGTGTTGTACTGGCAAATTACTTAACCAGCTTTTCATCTAGTTCTGAAAGATTTTGATTCTAGCCAATGTTTCTAAGAAGTTGAACATTAGCAAAATGATTACCATATGCCTCCTTTTGTGTGAAAGTTACTAGTGAGAAGGAGAGCTCAAAGGAGCTCACTGCTATTCTATCCAGCTCTATCATTTTTTTAAATGCCAAGACAAAGATATTTTGAATATGAAAGGGATTAAAAAGAAGTGCCAGCAAGGTTTCATTTGGTGAGAGTTCTTCTTTGATAATACTAGAAAAATTGTTTAGCTGTAATGGTCTAGGGATATTAATGGAACAAGATTTGCAGGGAGAAGCAATTTTTTTAGTCTGAATTTGAGAATTTAGGTCCCTTAATTTCCCACAGAAGTGCTATGTACCTAAAAGCTTGTCCATTTTATGAATAATATATTTTATTTCGCCTTCCAAATCTTGCCTTTTTGATTTTAACAAAAAAGAACATTAGCTCTGCCTCTTGATTTCTGCTTAACTAATCCGGTGATTTTTAATAATTTTACTAGGATGAGTCAGCATCAAATTGAGCAAGAATAACAAGTGTTAATTAGGCTTAACGGATGCTGACCATTGGACTGGATATTAGGAAACACTTCCAGACACAGTTGTCTGTGTCACACAAGCTGTTCCTTGCTTTAAAATCTGCTCATTTATTGAAACAATTTCTCTAGGAATTTTCTTTCTTCTGGATGTTTTCCTAAATCTCTTTAGGGAAAATATTAAAAAAATTAGATTCTCATTAGATATGGATATGAACACTTTTCATCAATGTATTTTTAAGGTTTTTAAATAGTTTTTTAACTTAGGGGAAATAAGGGTTAAAAACACATACTTCACCAACAGAGGTCATTTAGCATTTCTTCTGATGAATTCTAATATACTGTATGGAAATGGATGCCTTTAGCTTGAGAATCTAACTGGAAGAAGGCAACCTGTGTTATGTGATCGCGATCTGAATGCTATCCAATCACAAAATGAAACCACCTGACACTTAGTTTTGAGAAAGCAGGAATATGATGTTAGACTGCAAGTTCATAAGTTAGCACTTGCTTGTTTCAAAAGTCCTAAGCAGACAGTGGCTTCTGTGAAGGTAATTAGCCAAAGAACCAATCCCAGATATTGGTGGAAGGGGAGGGGGAAATTAATTTCATAAATAACAAGAGAGTCAAGTTAGACTGCTGGGGAAAAATCAGATCTTTGCTGTGCCATAGTCTAAATCAATTACTGAGCAGGAAGAAGGGTCTGATCTGGAAGAGTAGTTGGAGAGGAGTGGGAGGGAAGGAACAGCTGTTTTTTGGTTTTGAAAGTGTCATGGAATTTATGTGGGCAATCAGGCATAGAGATAAATTACTCAACTGGAAGACCAAGACTGTAGATAAGAGTCAACCAGATACCCACCAGGAGGTGCTCCATGCACGTGAATAACCATAGAATAGGACTCAAATCTGGTGGCTCTGCTGCTTGGAAGACAAATGGCTGTAGCTTACCTAATATCATTGGCTGGTGAAGCTGGTTGCTACATTCCAGACAAATAGTTCTTGGTCTTTTAAATTATATGACCTTTCTCTTTGTTTCTGCAGACACAGGAGCTCTGTCTGGTGGAGTCATAGTCTCTATTATCTTCGGAATTCTACTATTTTTTGGGCTGCTTCTGGGACTTCTTATCTTACGGCGAAAGTGAGTGTTGATTTTTGGTATTGAAAAAGGTATAGATGTAGGAATAGCTGAGCTATGGGAGCTTGAGAAAGGGAGGGAGGCCCTGATTTTGCACAGGGTATTGGATAGGTAGAGGTTAGTTACAGAAGAAAGAGTAAGACCAGTGTGCTGTAGCAAGATGGAATGAGTCTCAGTAAGTAATTTTGATTAGCAGGATTGGAGGGGTTGATATGTCTGTAAGATAATACTTGATGCTGAGGACAGAAGAAAATGTGGTGATTTCTCAGTTTTGTTATAATCCAGCACTATCAGACTGTTATCATGACAGATGAATTAAAGTATTGTTATGGTACAATCATTTCTATAGCTGCTGACTGATTAAGTGGGCAATACATGTATCCAATCATTTCAAACCATTTTCCATATACCATTACTTTCGTGGTCCTCTACCCAGATACAAAATTCTACTTCCTTTCTAAATGTCTATAAGGCTGCTATTGTTTGGTTTTAAGAAGATCAGGTATTGTACTGAAAGTGTACAGAAAATATAAAATAAATAGAAATTCATCTCTAATTCAGCAAGCAGAGGGATGAACAAAATTGCCTGCCTGGAAACAAAGCTCTATTTCCAAATGTAAACGAAGCATCACATTTTCTTGCTAGCTGTACTCTAATAAGTAGGTGAAGTGTCTGGTTCCACTTTGCTCTGTGCTACCCTGAATTCTGTCCTTGATCAACTAGGGCAGATGTCCTGGAAGTCTTACTTTTCTCTTTGCTATCTGCTGACCATTTTATTTTCATGACTGCTTCTTATGTTCCAGGCAGGCTCGTCGGAGACAGGCACGGCCAGATTACAATACTTCAGGCTTTGATCGAGGTGAGCTTCAAAGGGGTAGTAGAATCAGGGAGAAGCCTAGAATGGGTTGGAAGGAATGAAAAGAAACAGTAGTTTCAGACCAGACATTGGCATGGAATTTCTGATGATGATTTTTTTCATGATGATTTTTCCTCTTCCCATAACAGCTCTAGTTTTGAATGTATGTTTGGTAGATTTGTTTACTGCCATTGTCAGAATTCCATGGATTCACCTCTGCTTCTGTAGCTTTGCCCTACAAAGCTTGTCCAAAGAGTTGACAAATTAATTTGCTCTTTTGTCTTCACTTTACCATAGAGAAGGTCTGGTTGAAGCCCTATGTAGACCTGCAACCATATGATGACCCCAGCAGAGGGGTGCTGGAATTCACTAAGGAACTGGACATCTCTTGTGTCACTATGGAGAATGTGATTGGAGAGGGTGAGTTACTTGTCACTCTCCCCATCTTTCCATTGCCCCACACTGTTATTTTGCTGCCTATTCCTGAGTTCATCTGTGACCTTTTGCCTCTGGCTGTTCTCAGGGGAGTTTGGGGAGGTCTATCGTGGGTCCCTACGGCTCCCAGGGAAAGAACGTATTGTGGTTGCCATCAAGACCCTGAAGTCGACATATTCAGACTCACAATGGTGGAACTTTCTGCGTGAGGCAACAATTATGGGGCAATTCAATCACCCGAACATTGTGCGTCTGGAAGGAGTTGTCACCAAAAGTAAGAGTGTCTCAGAGAGAGTCCTGGGATGAGAGCAGAAACGGGCATGTTTTCTTTCTTAGAGAGGATGATGCCAGAGAGGCTGCACTGGGAGAAGACAGGCATTGCCCTGTTAGCTTATGGCAGAGAATGAGGAAGGGAGGAGAGGTATGGATTTCCAACAGAGTCATGAGGCAGTGTTATGAGAGGTCTTCTTGGGTTGGTGAGTGAATGAGAAGTTGGGCTAGTGTAAGGGGTGCTGTAAGCTTATAGGCGTGACACAAGGAGGGAGGTCTAAGGAGAAGGGTCAGCCAGCCATGCAAGTGGAGTGGGAGTGTTGGCTGGGTTTGGGTATGGTTCTCTGTGTTGGGGCAATGTGGAGAGCATTGAAAGGCAAGAGTAGGAGAATTGCAAAAAGGCTGACACCTTCTTGTCTTCCTCAAGGGAGGCCAATGATGATCATCACTGAGTATATGGAGAATGGAGCGCTGGATACCTTCCTCCGGGTGAGAGACTCTGTAATAGGCTTGTGTACTGCTGAAACTTGCACTTGACCTGGATTTAGGACCCTAAAAGAAGACTAGAAATAAGATCCAGACATCCACTTACTTTCTGCTCACTAACATTTTCAGTCTCAGCGGTTGAAGCTTGCTGCCATCCAGTTTGCTCAGTGTCCAGAGTGCTGTCTTTGGTAGTTGAAGTGCAGGTGCCTAATGATGACTCTGGAGACCACCACCAATACCTTAGAGAGAACCTGTTGGGTCCTTTGGGCTGCAGCATTGCCTTTTTGCTTGTTCTCCAATGCCCACTTTTGTAAGTTGGTAAGACCAGTAACTAGAAACTAAGCAGATTGATGCCACTTGACCAGGATTTTCTCTCACTTCTTCCATGCAGGAGAATGAGGAAAAATTTAGCCCTGTGCAGCTTGTGAGCATGCTGCAGGGAATAGCCTCTGGCATGACCTACCTTTCAGAACACAACTATGTGCACCGGGATCTGGCCGCTCGCAACATCCTGGTAACGCGCAGTCTTCAGTGCAAGGTGTCTGACTTTGGTCTCTCCCGAATATTGGAGAATGATGCAGAGGGAACCTATGAAACCAAGGTAATGCAAAAACAATCTCTCAGTCTTGTAAATGAACTGTAGTCTCAGGGGAATTGGGATTTTGCCACATAAGAATGGCAGAATTTCTTCACAATAGGAAACACCAGTTTGGAGGATTTGCATGGGAAATCTCTGAGGAAAACCCATAGTAAAACTGCAAGTCACAGTGTGGATGGTTCAGAAGGTGGTACTTTTCTGTCTGGAGGCCATGTTGATTTTGTTTGCTAAGAGATTCAGAAGGATTGTGGTTTTGAAATGAGAAGCAAAATAAGAGGTCTGATCTTTTGGACTCAATTAACTAAATCTAGCTTTGAAGATAGCCCTGCTGTGATCAGGGGTTTGGACTACGGGCATCTATAGGTCCCTTTCAATGAAAGTTTCAGTGATTCTAATGTCTGGTGTCATTCCAAGTAGGGCTGTGACTGCTGTCAGGCTCTTAACTCCTGCAGCAGTAGTTTTCTCTAGCACTCAACTGAACAGAGGGCTTGCTTAAACTCATTCTCTTTCCAAGAATGTTTCTGTCCTTTTGAGAAATTTCCCCAGGGGTGATTACACGTCACTTCAAGTGAAGCAGGCCCAGTCTTTGAACCACTTTGTAAACTCCTTGCATGAAAGCACTGGAGAAATACAACTCAATGATACTTGCTGGATACACTGTGTCTCTGCTCTTTCACAGGGTGGTAAGATTCCTATCCGATGGACAGCCCCAGAGGCCATTGCTCATCGGATTTTCACCTCAGCCAGCGATGTCTGGAGCTTTGGAATTGTCATGTGGGAGGTGCTGTCATTTGGTGACAAGCCATATGGCAACATGACCAATCAAGAGGTAACAGACACTGAGCTCAGGTGCTGATTTAAAAAGGCATAAACAAGGCATGTAGGCCAAACATTTGTAGATCTCCCTCAGCCTGCAGTCTTGACATTCTTTTGAACACATAACTACTATGTCTCCCTTCCTGCTAAAAATCAATGCAGCCGAATCAAGGGCAATAAGTGTCTGGGCCTCTGAACCATGTTCAGGTGTCAACAGCAATGAGTCAAATTAAAGAGTGGTTGAACCAGCCATGGCCTTTGGGTCTGGAGATGTTCTCTGTTGGTTTCTTTCTCTCCTTCATCTGGCTCTGGAGCATTATGCCTGGTCTCATTCTAGGTTCAGCACATCTGTGAGGTTAGCACATGCTGTTGAAATTATTCCCCAGAGTCTGGTTGCCCTTTTCTCACCAGGCCTGTGCCAGGATCATTTGGTCCTCACTTCTCATGAACACATGCCCTGAATGGCAAATGGGAGCTGAGCTAGTAAAGGATTAAAAGTACATGCATATGCCATTTCACTTTTTGCCATCCCTTAGGTGTCCTGATCCTTTGCTGTGCTGCCCAAACCCTACTTCATACACATGTAATCTGCTTCACCCTCTCCCTGGCTGCACACTGTGCAAAATAGTGAACCTCCTACTCCCAGCCCCACAGAGGTCTCTGGCTCCTCTTTCACACTCTCTGCTCTTGGCCAGATTTCTCTCTGTCCTCTATGCAGGTGATGAAAAGCTTAGAGGATGGGTACCGACTCCCCCCACCTGTGGACTGCCCATCTATCCTCTACGAGCTCATGAAGAGCTGTTGGTCACATGATCGGATGAGGAGGCCTCATTTTCAGGAAATCCGCGCACAGCTGCAACATTTCATCTCAAGTCCCCAGCTCCTCCGGCCTGTTGCAGACTTTGATCCCAGGTAAGCAGGCTGTCACTGGAGGAGGAGAGGTTAAATGGGAAGGAGATGTTCACCTCCTGGTCTCCAGCAGGAGGAGAGGTAGTGCTAGCAGTGGAAACTGGCAAGAGGCTCTGTGCACAGAAGATAGTAGCCATCTCTGTCTCATGGTGGCAGAGGGCATAGCTGTTGGCCTGGGCAGTCTGACCTCACTGTGCAGAGATCAGATAAGTTGGCCTAGTCCTGGCAGATAAGCTACTGTCTCATAGCACTGGCTGTTTAAGGTAGTTGCCTGGCTAATGAGGGTTTTATCTGTCTTTAGGGTAACACTCCGGCTCCCCAGCTGCAGTGGATCTGATGGGATCCCCTATCGATCTATCCCTGAGTGGCTGGAATCCATTCGCATGAAGCGCTACATCTCCAACTTTCGCACTGCCGGCCTGGACACAATGGAGTCTATTCTGGAGCTCACTGCTGAGTAAGGGCAGGCTAAACTCCCACATGGCACCCTAGGCTATGCTACAAATAGCTGTGTCTGAACAGGCACTCATATTTACTTGGTAGGCTTCTCTCCATCCCTCTCTATATAATTAAATGGAAATGGACTGGCTTCTTGCCCTAAAAGGGAAGAATCTGCCCAGAAGAATGGGGATCAGTCCAAACTGTCAGACTAATTCCCTAACTGTCCATGCTTGAGGCTCTTCCGGGGCCCGAGCTGCTCTGAACTCACATCAGACACAAACAGCAAGGGGAAACAATAGATGGTAAACAATTCTCTATCCTGACCATCTCCCCAGCCTTGTAGGACTTTATAGGATAATTTTCTTGCCTTGAACTCCATATGGGCTAGTGATATCCCCCCCACATCAGCCAGGCATTGTTCTATCATAGAGCAAAGTCCTTCTGAGCTCTTTAGAAGGACTTGGGTCGGATGTTTTCCCAACACAGCCATGTTCATTTCTAGGGTCGGGGATGTATAGCCACCTCCAACCAGGACAGTTCCGTAAAACAAATGAGCAGGCACAGTGCAGGGACAGACCTGCTATAGGGTTGAGACATGTCCCACATCACAAGCTGATGCGGACACAATCCTGATTTAATGGGAGCACAGACCTAGTCGTGAGGTGGGAGAAGGCAGTGGACTGGGTTGGCAGAGGTAGCCAGGGAGGGGCAGGAACAGCAAGACGTTTCTTCCCTCTAGAGAAAAGGTAGGCATAGTAGGAGGCACTGAGGGAAAGGAAGATTTCTGAACTGATGCTTGGTAACTGTGTCTGCCCTTACCCACATCCCAGTCGCCAAGGAACAAGAACAGCAATTCATTTTTTTTCCTTTCTCTTCCCATTTCCTTCAGGGACTTGAAACAGATGGGAGTATCACTTCCAGGCCACCAGAAGAGGATCCTGTGTAGCATCCAAGGCTTTAAGGAGTGATCAGTCATTGCTCTCTTAAGCTTGCTAAATGCCCATTCTTACCAGATATCACTTGGAATCATTCCTATGGCAATTGCTTCCAAATGAGTGACTGGGACAAGCAAAGCAAAACAACCAGAACTGAAAAGGATCATGAGGCAACACCACCTGCTCTCCTTTCTGTTCCCCCTTGCTTTAGCTCTACAGAAGCCATCAGTATGTTTCAGAGCACTGGTCTTAGAAAATGTTCTCGGTCCTGTCTTCTGTAGTCTGTTCTGTGCAGCAGTAAGTAATCCCTGTAGTCCACATACTGGAGTTTCAGACCCTCACTATATCACATGGAAACCTAAGGATACATACAAAGTGGGTTGGGGTCAGTGGATAACGTTTTAAGATTGGAGATGAGATGAGGGTTCAGATAGACTAGGACATTCAAGGAACACACACAAGGACACAAGACATGTAGAGATCGGGCCCATTCACTCCGTGGCATACATCCCTTCTCACTTCAGGAGCCGTCTGTCTTCCTTATTTTACAACAGGAACAAACTATTCAGTCTTTCACAAGGCTGCTGGTAAGGAATATATTTTTAAATTCAGCTATTCTTGCCTTAAACACCAACTCATGGTGTACTTTCTTTGGAGGAGAAGTCAGGAGTAGCAGCACACCCTGCTGTAACTTGTGTGATCACGTAACCTCAGCATGTTGCTGTTTTGCACGTGCACACATCAGTGGGGAGATTTACTGCTTAATGCCTTTACTTGTGCCATGGACAAAACCCCCAAACCTTTAATTACCCGCTTTTCTCTGCCCCTTTTTTAAAAGAGAGGATAGTCTTGTTTGGCTGGATAGGGTATTTGTAACAGAAAAATGTGTAGGTGGTCTGTCTTATTCCTTCTCTGTGGAGGAAATATTATTTATCAGAACTCAAGACAGTTATAGACTGTAAATAATATTTTGTAAATAAATCTGTGGCAGAGCAGGCTGTGTTGGAGTTCTTTGCCTTATTTCAAATATGATCGGGACCTTTACTTTAGCATATATATTATGAGTTCCAGCAGGGTCCTTACATCCATGTTTAGTTGTTTCAGCCACTGGTCTTTGTCCATTTAACTGCAGATTTAATGTGAAAATGCAGTTGCATTAGGATTAAAGGATACATATGCAGCTGGCTACCAGACTTTTTTCTCTAATACAGTTGTATCCATCCATTAGCCAAGTCCATCTTTTTACAGGTCCTGTGTTTATTCCTAAACCATGAGAAGTATTAGAAGCTGCTGCTGTAGTTTGATGAAATACATGTGAGTAGTACTTCCTTCTCCTGCAGTATAGACTGCCCGGGGGGGGGAACCCAAAACCAAACCAGACCAAAACAAAAACCTCACTGATGTTCCTAAGACTACCTGAGAAGAGTAGTCACCTAAAGATTTATTTTTCACTGCTTGAGCTAATTCCAGGTTGGTGAAGAAGGTGAGTGCTAGCTATTCAGCAATCAGTTACTTGCTGTAGATAGCTATCATTGTTTCCATAATTGCATAATGCCCCAAATTCTTAAGGCTGTAAATTAACACTCCTGCTCCTGGAAATGGTCTTGCTTAACCATAAATGACAGAAGGGCTAAGAAGCAGGGATCTAAAGACCTGCAACTTAAAGCAAGAATGCTGGTTTTTATTCAACATGAGAAGCAGCAGAGTGTACACAGGGAACCATAGTGCACACAGGGAACCATAGTATACACATGCCTTAGCCACTCAAATCACTGCAACTGTAGTAAGAGATTCAGCTGAAAAGATCAGCTTTTACAGTGAGTTTTGTTAATATATCAGTAAGTTCAGTCTCAGTAGTAGGTGTCTTTAACATGAAGCATAGGTAAATAAATGAAGTTGCTACATGGCAGATATCCAGGCTAGAAGATAAGCCCTGATGAGGCTGACAGAAGATTATGAACTTGTATCATGCATATGTAAACTGTAGCCTATCCTTGCAGATGACAGAAAATGGAGAGTGGTTGATACATCAGATAGTTGTGCTGTCATTCAGAGGGACCTTAATAGATGGGAGAAACGGGAAGACAGGAGACTCATAAAGGTGAACAAAGGGAAACACAGAGCCCTGCAGCCCACGTACCAGTACATGCTGGGTGCTGACTGGCTGGGAAGCAGCTTGGCAGGAAAGGACTTGCAGGTCATAGCGAACAGCAAGTTGCACTTGAGCCACTAATGTGCCCTTGTAGCAAAGACCAATGCTATCCAGGCTGATTAGCAAATGCATCACCAGTAGCTGGAGGGAGGCAATTCTTCTCTATTCAGCATGGGTCAGACATCCAGAGTGTTGTGTCCAACTTGGGGCTCCCCAGTACAAAGAAGGACAGGGACTTACTGGAGCAAGTCCAGTGAAAGGCCACTATGAGTCTGAAGTGATTAGATCGTCTGACATATGAGGAGAGGCTGAGAGAGCTGGGACTGTTCAGCCTCAGGATGAAAAGGTCTGGGTGGCTTTTATCATTGTGTATAAATACCTGATGGAAGGGAGCAACAGAGGCAAGCAGACTCCCCTCAGTGGTATCCAGTGGAAGGGGAAGCAGTGGAAACACATCAAAAACCAATAAATTCCATCTGAAGGTAAGAAAAAACTTACTGTGAGAGTTGTTAAATACTGGAACAGGTTACTCAAGGAGGTTGTGGAGTTCTTGTCCTTGGAGGTATTAGAAAACTGATGAGGTACATTCCCGAGCAACCTGCTGTGGTTGACCCCGCTCTGAGCAGAGACGTCCCTTCCAACTTCAACTGTTAGGAGCTGCTGACTCAGCTGGCCTGACAGAGAAGCAGCTGCTCAGTTCCATGTACTCAGGAACAGCCAGTAGCAAGCCTGAGCATGTATTCCCAACAGGCAGTCGTGCACGCAAAATATACATTTATATAATATGTGCATGTATAGATATACACACAAACTGTACATGACTGGCCTGAGGCAGAAAACGTAGCAGTCATGCAAGCAGAGCACAAGCAGCCTGATCCTATTCCATTCTCTGGCTGATCAGGATGAACCTGTTAGCAGGAAATACAGACATACATACTATGGATCCCTCTAGCATCTAAGACCAGCTAACACAGACACACGCACAGACACTCCAGTGATTAGCCTTAGACATTGGCTCTACTCAGCACCTGGCCTCAGGATGCCCTGATCTCCCAGTCACTCACACACAGATGCAGTTCTCTGGTAGCTGGTCCAAGCTTACCAGTAGCTGACTTCCAGACCAGAGAGTAGCTGGCTTGGACTTCCTGGGAGCTCTAGCAGCTGACTCTCAGACTGGTCTTTCCAGCATCTAGCCAGACTCGCAGCCATGCCAACTCATGGCTCTCAAGTCTCTTGCCCTGTTCTTTCACCAGCTCTGAGTTGATTATTGCTAGTGATTATGCTTAATAATGGGACATGCACACCCCCACAATATGCATGCACTCAGGTTATTTCCAGTTGCTGGCACTCAGACCTCCTTGTGCACTGAAGAGAGTCCCGTCATACAGGAAAAAAACCAAAACCCAAGAACCCCCCCCCCCAAAAAACAACAAAAAAAAGTTTAGTAAGATGACAGGACAGACTGCACTGACGCCACACAGGGCACGGCCAAACAAGTGAACTGTGTATGTGCAGCCAGCCCCTTCTGTGCCGTTTTCCCCCCAGTCTTCCCGTGCTGCTTCCTCTCCTTGATCACTCCCTTTTCCTGCCTCTGATCCTGCCCCTACACATCCCATAACAAGCACTGTACAGCCTGCAGATGCTCTTCCACTGTGCCCCATGCCCCTCGGACTAACTTCCCCTTAATCTGCGAGGTGATCCACAGAACCCTTCCCATTGACTCCATTGGACTGGCTTCATACTCAGACACCGGGCTATAGTCCTCTGATGGCTCTGGGAGGAGTTTGGTTGGGGTGCTTCTCTCCCATCATTGTTTCTCTCCTCTGTGCTCCTTGGTGTTTGTGGGCATAAGCTTTTAATCACATAATCTAGAAACAACCACTCATAACAACGCCTACAAAACAGTAAGAACTCCGGTAAGAAAGCAAATGTACAATTTGTTCATTCTTTACTCATCCTATAGGAAACCTCATAGCATTTACTGGATCAATTTGCAAGGAATCATTAAAGATTTCCCCAAAACTGGCAAGAGAATAAGAGTAGGTTTCATGTCTTTGAAGTGTAGAAGCATTGATGCTTACCACAAAGAAGAGTTTCACCTGCAGTGACCAAGACAGTACCATGCTTAAAACCATACACATCAAACACCTTCCGACTAGCAATAAAGGTGAAGCAAGCAAATTGACCACTTCAGTCTGATGCAAGTGCACTGTAACTCACATCCCAGTGACACATCAAGCAGACTGCAATCTTGCTGTACTGAAATGCAGTCTTCCACTGCTTTAAATGAGAGCTACTCTTCAGGCACAGAAAGTAGGAAACTAAATGGTTTGAAAAGGAGACCAAGAGGTGGAGAGAGAAAGGCTGTTTTCAGACTCCTCATGTCTGGAGGCTAGGTGGAATAACAGCTATACATTCTCTACTGCCTAAGACAGCAGTAGTTGAACAAATACAGCAGACACACGTTAATGGAAAAAAACCCACATTTTATTGAATGCAAACAGTGGTTGGACAGTGTAGTTATTCAAAAGGGTTGTTCAGTTTGAGAGTTTCTAGTCCAGGAAATGGGGCTCAGTGCAGTAACACCTGGAGCCAGACAGTACATTGCAATTACACTGCAAGTACATTGCAGCTTTCACTGTCAGGAGTGAAAGAATCCCTACTGAAACGGGGAGACGTTCCTCAGCCTGCTGAATCCTCATCCACGCACTGAGACGCCTCCTCACCATCCGCTGCCCGTCCTTACGACGGTCTTTATTTGTAAACATGCATTCTTTGGACTGCTTTGCTACTCTGGTGCCCAGCCTGGCTGTCCAGAAACCACACTGGGAAATGATTCATTTTGGGGAGGGAAAAAGGTTTTTAAAAAAAGTTTCCAAACTCAGGAACAGAGTAGGATTCCAAACATTGCCAGTTAAATCTGGCTAAGGAAAAAAAATTTGACAAGACAGTTAGCCAGTAAAATCCATTAGAGACAGAAAAGCTATAGTAGGTTAGCTTTTTTCCAGCAACAATAACAGAAATTCCCAATATGTTCTGCCTCCACACTCTAACCCAGGAGCAAGAGAGGAGGCAGGGGAAGACATCCTGATAATGAGGTGGCACACAAGAAAAAACAAACTCAAAAGACAGAAGTGGTGCCAAGATGGAGGCTTCCACCTTCTAAGGTCAAATCATTGTTTCTTGGCTCGGTGGAACAGAAGAACGCTCAGCCCTTCCCAGCACCTGCCACCAGGTCACTCTTGCTACTTCCACCAGGCAGTGGTGGAGGTCTGGACTTTCTCCTCCAGAGTCTTGAGGGAACAGAGATTGTGCACTCACCTTCATCATAGCCCCCAGCCTGGAATATACTGTGGCCAGGAAGTGGTGACAGGACAAGAAGTCCTCTCTTGGTGGGTGTGCAGAGTGAAGTCTAGGAGTGGTGAATCCTACATGAGTTAAGAACTGCGCTGGCGTAGTCTCCATTGGTAGCAATCTGCCTTGTCAGGCAGAGGGATAGGACAACGGTGGGGAGGGGAAGAGTATTGAGTGCAGGAGTATCAAAGGTATGCCCACTCCAAGCTCCTCAGTGTGCTGTTTTGGCACGAACGGTGTGACATTTGATACACAGCACATGCCCATCCAGTGGGAAGCACCCATTCTCGTCTGCTTCAATGGACAAGGGCTTCCCACAGTCCTAAACAGGGAAAGAAAAGAGGGAGGGAGCTCAATGACAGCCCACAGCAGGGTAAATGCATTCAAGGATGTAAGAAATGCCCCATCAGATCGGTATAAAGGCTCAACAGCCCACTGCTCTGTCTCTGATGGTGCTGACGGGAGACACTATTTTGAGGGATAGGCAAACCCCTACTGTGATCACAGCATGTTCCCCTGGTATAAACAACTGCGTGTTAGGGATGTTAGAGACTACAGCCCTGCATAGTCCTTGTTCATGGACTTGTGGATGTCTAATCTTTTTCTGAATCTGCTTCAAAAAGCTCCAGATTCATTCAAAACCACCTTAGTGTTTGGTCAGGATAGACAACAAAGGTGCCCAGTTGCTGGTGATGGGCATGGGAGAGATGGGAGGAGTGGGGCCACCAGGCTTACCTCACACTTGTAACATTTCATGTGGAAATTTTTCTCCAATGCCACCACACGCACTGTCTCATCCTTTCCAGGCTCTGGCATGATAGGCTCACTACAGACAGAGCAGCGTGGAGCATACTTCCTGCAACACACAAAAATATGGTGGAGACCATGACCACTGTAGTTACATTCAAGTTTCTCACTGTTGTACAATAGTATTAGCAGCAGAGGAATAATAAATCACAAAGAAGTTTAGGTGAGGAAAGATCTTAATTGCTGCAAGGTACATTGCTGACTCATTTTTAACTTCACTTCCAATAGATCACATGGGCAACCCAACCCCATACTGCAGCAAAATTAAACAGGTGTGAAGGAATCTGCCTTCTTTCAGACACCACATGCATGTGCTCTCTCTGTACCTGTGGTAGTCATCCACACAGTGAGGCTGGTTGGCCTGGTCCACAATAAAAGAGGCCCCCTCGAGAGGGGTATGGCACATCACGCAGGTGAAGCACTGGGGATGGTATGAGTTACCAGTGGCCTTCAGCATCCGGTCTGTGATGGTCTGTTTGCAGACACTGCACTTTTCCAAGGTCCCCTGAGCCCAAAGGAAGCAAGTAAGACACATCAATCCAATCCCCCACCCCTGGGAGGCTACAGCACAGACAGGCAAGATGGAAGAAGAAAGGGAAAGCAAGAGAGAGCAACCACAGCAAGCTCAGCTCTCTCCAGCAGCTTTCATCCCAGTGACTCACAGCATAGCAGTCCTCGCAGAAGGGCTTCTCATCCACATTGTAGAACTGCTGCCCCTGTAGCTGCTTCTCACATTTGAAGCAGGTGAAGCATTCCACGTGGAAGAGGCAGTCTAGGGCCCTCACAGCTGGCTGGGTTCGTGATAGGGGCTTCCGGCAAAAGCCACAGAGCTCTGTCAATGGAAGAAGAAAGGGATTAGCAGAGATGAAAACCACCACAGTCTTAGTCCTACAGCTGCCCATTGAGGGAACGCACCAGAAGTAGCAGCCTCTGCTGCAGGCGGACGCTCCATATCCTTCATTAGTTTCTGGGTCAACATCTCTAACTCTTCTACCTCCTTCATGGTCAGAGAGGAATTTCCCCTAGGTGGATCTGCACTGGAGCCTGTGGGTCGATGCTGCAGGAAGAGGAAACATTCAATGCCAAAGGACACATATAGACAGGCTCCTTCCCACCCTGTCCCTAATAAACCTACTTCTCTCACCTTTGTTCCCTAGAGAGAGACAGTGAGAAGAAATAATCTGCCATGCACCGTGCTTGCTTCTTTCCACCTTTACATGAATAACTATCCCTCTCCACCACCGTCTCTCATTACATCTCTCTTTCATATGGGTAACAGCTTCCCCTAGCCTGGGACAGACCCTGCCTCCTCATCCTCCAACTTTGTTCCCAGTGACACCTGTCCAAAGGCACTGGTGTCATGGCTCTATCCCTTACCGTGTCTTTTGCAGCAGCAGGTTGTTCTGTGGGACGTGGCTTCTCCTGCACTTGGGGTCTTTCCCTCTGCTGGGCATAGGTGAAATTGGGAGGCTGTGGCCGAGAGGATGGACCTGAAGGTGAAGGGGCTGTGAACTGAGTCTGAAGAGAGGTAGGATATCTTGTAGAGTTTGAGGGAGCCGTGGGAACATTGGCACCTGATTTGGGCCCAGACTTAGGAGAGCCAGCAACAGGGGGTGGGGTGAATTTAGGGGTAGGCTGAGCAGGAGAGAGAGAGGGGGGTGGAGGCACAGGTGCTAGGGGCTCCTTGCGTTGCTGTGGAGCTGCCCATGGGGTCGGGGTGGGCGTCAAATCCACCCCAGGGGGCTTGAAAGGTAAGCTTCCACTTGGCTTTGGAGTGAACTTGGAAGGAAAGGAATGAGGAGTATCTCTGGGTGCAGATGGTATTTCCACAGGGGCTTTGGGGGCCAATGGTTTCTCCAGAGAACCTGTGGATCCTGGAGATGTCTGTAAAGGGAAGCAGCAGAGAGAAACAGCCAGTTATCAGCAAGGTGGAAGAGAAAATAGCTGTTGACTTACTGCTATAGACAGCATCTCTCAGACCCCCAATGCTAAGAGTTCCCACACTGCTACATATTTAGCAGTCCTGACATGTTGCAAGATCTATGCTTTCTGATCCTTCAGGTATAGTTTCTTGCTATGGTTTATCCAGACTTTTTAATCTTCAGTAGCACCCTTCTCACCACCTCTGTTCAGCAAACCAGTCATCTTTCCTTCCACCTGTGACATCCTGGAGCGCTCACCCGGGATTTGAAGGGGTCATTCTTCTCCATGTCATCCAACATTACGGACAGTGAGTCAATCTCAAGATCAATGCTGCTCATCTTGCCATGTACCTATACCACCATCCATGAGGAAAGAGGGAGCAGAGCACGTTACAGGAACAGTCAGAGAACCAGGTGTATCCCCTTACAACAGCAGATTTTGACACTTTGGACTGTGGTACAGATCTGCTCTTTGCTTTGAGTGGATAGCAAGCTGGTAAGGATGAACAGGGCACAGCCTCCAAGGTCTACAAACAGTGAGAAAATACACAGCCCAAAGAAACCCACAGACAGATTTAGGTGGGACAAGACATCTGGAGGTCTCTAGTCCAACACCCTGCTGACAGCAGGGCTAACTCCTAAGCCAGAGCAGGTTGCTCAGGGCCTTGTCCAGGTGGTTTCTGAACATCCCCAAGGACGCAGATTCCCCAGCCTCTCTGGACACCTGTGCCAGTGTTGAGCCACCCTTGGAGGGAAACAGGTTTTTCTTCCATCCAGCAGGAATTTCCCTTGCCGCAACTTGTGTCCATTGTCTCTTGTTCTCTTGCTGTGCCCCAGTAAGAAGAATCTGTCTTCTCTCCAGCCCTCCTTTAGGTATTGCAGACTGCAGTTAGATCCCTGCCTTGGCCTCCTCTTCTGCAGGCTGAACAGACCCGGCTCTCACATCATGTGTTCCAACCCCAAATGATCGCTATGACCCTTTGCTGGATTGCAGCTAGTTCAGTATTCCTCTGGGCTTATTATAATCGGAAGCCCAACTGGAAACAGTCCTCCAAGACGCAGCATCACTAGCACTGAAGAGAGAAATAATCACTGTCCTCATCCTGCTGACTACACTCTCACCAACGCAGTCCAGCACATGGTTGGCCTTTATTGCCACAAGGGTGCATTGCTGGCTCACATTCAACTCACTGTCCACTAGGAACCCCAGGTCCTTCATCTGCAGAGCTGTAGCCCAGCCAGTTGACCCTAACCTATGCTGGTCCATGGGGTGGCAGCATTTTCTGCCTTCCCAGATCTCAGGGCTTCCTGCTGCTGAGTTCAGAGTAGCGAAAGGCTATCCCAACTCACAGAGCATCACAAGAAACTATACTTCCCTTGACCTCACTCACCTGTGGGGCAGGTACTTTGCTCACAGGCCCTTCATCAAACATCAGCGGAGGAGGAGGAGAAGGAAAAACGTCTTCCGGGGCTGGTGGAAAAGGCTCTTCAAAGGGGGGTGGGGGTGGGGGAAAAGCACAGTTTGAGGAGAAACTTGCCTCCTCTCCAGGTGGGGGAGGAGGTGGCAGCGGCAGCTCTATGGGGAAGAATGAGAATAAAAGCAAGTTTGGATAATTTCTTACTCTTAGCCAGTACAAACCCCAGGAGGGCTCTTGAAGGTACCACAGCAAGTAGTTCCCCAATACCAAGGGGAACCCAGCACTCATCAAGGACAACTGAACTCCACAGGCTGGCTTTCACTTGTCCAAAGCTATCTGCCATCATATAAACTTTCCTCAGTAGCTACTACAATTAGTCACTGGGAATAGTTATTGTATAATTGGGAAACATCTTACTATGCCCTTTCCCCCTCCTCCTCTCATTTTTTGGTGCCTAGCATATGCTTCTCTTGCCAGTGACTGGCTCAGATTGCTGAATATAGAGCAGCATTAGAAGGAATGCCAGTGGACAACCCAGGACCCTGAGGAGCCTGATGACAGGAAAATAAGCTGGCACCTCACAGCTGGCTAGTAAGCACTACAAGAAATAAATGGGGGAAAATAAAAGCAAGTCAAACCAACTACCATATGACCAATCTTTGAAATGGCTTTATTTTTCTGGGAGATGAAAACAGCTTTCCTTTTGGAGGCTAAAATGTCCCCATACCCAATACAGATAAGGACATGAGAAATCTTCCAGAACCCTTTTAAGCAGGCTGAAAAGAAACAGAGACCCTCAACCTCCTAGAAGAAAACCCCATTGCTTTCACCTATTCATATTTGCCGAAGACATGGAACAAGCAAAAAGAAACATTTTCTACTACAACACCGTCAAATAAATGTGAATCCTCTTCCCTTCACCACGTATGGGAGAAGTTGTCCTCTTATCATCCAAGCAGCAAAGAACATTGAAGACAAGGATGCATAACTTCCACACCCCTTATTTGGGACACCCACCTCTCTTCCTAGCTAGCCCCAACCAGCAGCAGGGTGAAAGACCACATTTCTCACTCCTGCTACTCCATGTGCAACTTTTTAACAGCAGTAATCAAATTGTCTCATCTTTATATCCAGCTGTTGTCGACAGACTTTATAAGGACTTCTGATCTGTAACCTAAGAGAGACAATACTGCCCTTTCAGAAAATTAAAGCCAAAATCTTTTTAGCCAGTGGAATGCATGAACTCCACTGTATGCAGTACCTCTTCCAAGCCTTCCTGTGCCAGAGACATTCTGCTTGGGGCAGAGGGAAGTAATACAGGGCTGGTATTTTTTCTTTGAAACTACAGTTTTGGGATCAAATTTGTATAAGCATGCCCTTTGATTTATTGAAATGATACAGAATACCTAAGCCCTGATCTGTTGTCACATTGCTTCAGATGTGTTAAAAGCCTGTTTTATGAATTACTCAAACAAAAAAGCTCCCCACAAAATTACTATACCAGATTTATAGAATGATGAATACTAAATATAATGTTCCTACAGCAATACTAACTTAGCCATCCTGTCATTTAAGACAAAGAGACCAATTGCTATTGCTTATACTACTATTTGTTTGGGGAGTGTGTAAGAAAGGGAGAGAAGGATTGAAGAGATGCATCAGAGAAGGATCAAATCAGATGCATTTCTCTGATGACTGAGTTTTGGTGGTTCAACTGTACTTCAGATGTCTCGCTGGCCACCCTCACCCGGTGGTAACACAGCAGCTTAAGCCACATAGTTCTTTTGCTAATCTTTCTGTCAAGTTGGTTTCTTCATAATAAGCTTTACAAGGAAGGGAGAAGTGGAGCAAACAACATCCAATCCTCCACTCACATTGTATATTGAAAAAAAAATTTTAACATTCATCTGTCTACTTTTGTACTTCAGGTTATTTGTGTCAGTTTGAGACCTTCCAACAAACACATCCTTAATCCATACAACTACAGCAGAAAATCATAAAGCCTAAGATGGGACCTTGGATTACAGACACAAGAGTCCAGCCAGCAATGCATGAGAAAAAGGTCAACAGAGTTGGTTGGTACAATTCTAGTAGACAGAAACACCAACATGCTGAGGCCCTCGTGACTTGAGAATTCACATTAGGTCAGCTGCCCACTAACTTAGCATGCTAACCTAGAAAACATCACTGTTGCATAGTCTATGCTAGACAGTGAAAGGAAAGAAATTTAAAACAGCAGTTAGCATTATCTGAATATGCATGTCCCAACAGAGGTGCACACTGATAGAGTCTAGGGGTAATATGCAGCATCGAGCATTAGCAAGAAGTCCCTAGGGAAATTTCTGGTGGCCTTACACTCATCAATTCCAGCTGTGGAGCAACACAACCAGGAACCTTCTGCTTCTTAGAGGACACAACACCAACCGACCAACAAAAAAAAAACCCCAGAACAAAAAACCACCCCATCACCACAGGAAATTAAAAAAAAAAAAAAAAAAGAAAAAAGAAAAAGAAAACCACAATACAGCAAGAAGTCATTCTACACAGGAAAACACACCCAGCCCAAAGCAGTAGGAAAAAGTATGAAATTCTACAAGCCATACAAACTCTAAGTCTCACTTCCTGTTTAAGATAGCTTCCACCATTTTTCTATGCAATTATTTCTTCCTCCGCATCTCCAGTAGCAAAGGTGGCAACTGCAGAGTCCACGAGAAAGATTTCTACAGTCAGAAACAACCAACCTGAGCTGGGATGAATCAACAAGAAGGAGAATAGCATGATTCAACACCATCAGGGTCAACTTCCCTGCAACATAGTTGCTCTCTGACATGCTGGCCAGAAACTGGCTGCAGTTACACAATTATGCACTCAGCAAATACTATGAAAAAATCCATTGCATTCCTCCAGCATTAGTGCAACGCAGGATTGCCTTCCTGCCTCCTTTCCTAATGGAGATACTATCTACTTTACAAATCCCTTTACAATTGTTTTAGCTCATTCTGGAACCTGCCAGCCTCTACAACAAGAGTATCCATCACCTACAGCAGTTTTGCCCCTGTTCTCATGTTTAGCCCAGTTACAGACCTCACCCCCTGAGAATTCAGAAATGCATACTCACATCTGCCACACAAGCCCTCACCTACCTTCTGCCAGAAGGGACATGGACGCTGATGGAATCTCCCCCACCTTCCCTATCTGAGCACGCTGGGCGCCAGCTCCAGAAGGCGGGGGCAGCGATGACTCTGATGCACCTCCAGCCTTGAACGGGTTCACCTTCGGTTTAGGGGCAACCACAGGTGCAAACTTCTTCTGCGGGTTGTAGAAGGAAGGGGTAGAAATGTTGATACTGACTGTGGATGTCATGCGGGTCCCTGGGGCACCTGGGGAGGCCATCTTCTTAGCACCTGGCAGGAGAGAAAAGGGAAGAAACCTATATGAAGCCAGCCTTGGGCTAGAGAGCAAATTAGTAGAGAAGAACACAGGAAACAGAGGGATACAGAAGTTTAAGTCTGGCCAGAGGCTGAGGTGCCTCAGCAGAGCACAGAGCACTTCTAGGATCATCACAGGAAAAAGGAGGAACAGAAACTGCAGACTACTCGAATGAGCCAGCATGCTTCACCATTTCAACTTAGTATGGCATTAACCGCAAAGGGGCTCTTGACACGGAGAAAACCAAGCTCTTTGCTGCACGAGAGCCTTGCACGCATGCACGCATGCTGGGGAGGACAGCAGCAGGCCACCAGAATGAGTGTTATCTGCCACGCACATGGAGCCCCACACACCCCGAGGGGATGCCCCCAGACTCGCTCTCCCAGAACTGGAATTTGCACTTCCTCTCCCCCACTTACCCAATAACACCACCCTGTTCCTCTGGACCTCAGCCTGTGACAGCCCCAGTAATGTCCCC